AAATCACGGGGGAGTCTGCGTGACTTTCTGTTTGTTTTTGAGCCATACCCAGAGATGCTCAGGGCTGACTCCTGACTCTGTGCTCAGGGATCCCTCCTGGAGGGCTGGGGGTCCCCCTGGGATGCCGGGGATGGAACCTGGGTCACCCGTGTGCAAGGCCAGCACCCAGCCCGCTGTCCCCTGGCCCTGGTGCCTCTCTGGACTGTCTGTGCCCTCCCCACTGACCAGTGTGAGGACGTTGTAGCCCTGGAGCTTCTGGCGTGAGTCTGATCCCGGATCCCGAGGGGAGAAGGGCGGAGGCAGGGACGGACGTGCCGAGTGAGCCAGTAAGGCCAGCAGGCCCCGCCTCCTACACCCCAAAGTTGGGATAAGAAAGAGCAGGTTGAGGGGCCTTGGAGTACCCTGCACTGGGGACCCTGTCCGGGAGGAGCATACAGGGAGCACGCGAGGCTGGGTGCTCCCCGTCCCTCCCATGCCCAGTGGGGCTCTGTCAGGGTCTGCGTTTCCCTCCATGCCCTGAGCCCTGCTTCCCGGGGTGTGAATGTGTGGGAGTGTGGTGCCAGAGGGGGACAGGGGAGGGTCCCCCTGCTCACCAGCTCCTGCCTCCACCCCCAGCAGGGATGCGGTGCCCCCCGCCCCGTTGGCTGCTTCTCCCACCGCCCCCCTAGCCAGTGCCCTGTCGTCATGCACGAGGGGATGGTGGTTCCCTCGGATCTCCCTCGCGGTGGCCTTGATGGGCACACCTGGGGTGGCCCCGGTCCTGGCCCCTGCCTGCCCAGGCACCGTGCAGAGAATTTCCCAGGGGGAATGGGTAAGGGGGTGCTCACTGGGTGGCCCCCAGGCCTGAGTTCCAGGTCCCCGGGCCGAGACCCCCACGTCAAGCCTCGTGGCCTCTGTGAGAGGGTTCCTGGATCTGTAGCCTCTGAGTGGACAGCACTTTTTCTCCTGGTCAGCATCCAGGCACCCCCAAGAAGAGGAGGTGTGGGTGCATGGGGGTGTGGTCAGGTGGGGACTGGGGGTTCCGGGCACCTGCTGGGTGGGCCATGCACTGCGAGTCCTTGCTCGAGCCCCCAGAATCTTCTGGGCGTCTGACCTGCCTTTTCTCGCCAGGCCTCTCCCGTTACTTCCCGGCCGCCCCCCAAACGATCCGGAGCCCCTGGCTCACTCTTCAGGAACTCAGACCCGGGTCCCCGCGGAGGCGGCTCTGTTCTGAATTACCGGGGGCCGACCAGGACCTGGGGGTGGGGGGTGTAGCTGCTGCAGATGGAGGGAGGAAGGGGGGTCCCTAGGCCCTGGGGCCAGGCCTGCTTCCAGGGTGCTGGCTGGCCTTTGCCCATGCCCCTGCCTGTCCGTCCCTTCCCCGGGGCCCGCCATGGTTGGGTCCCCCCACCCCCCAGCAGGAGCCTTAAGGGCCTTCCTGCTCCGGGTGGTTTGGGGCTCAGGCGGGGGCGTGTGAGGCTGGCGCGAGGCCCCCTCGTCGGAGGCTCAGCCTGGAGAAACTTGGAAGCCTCCACCAGGGAGAGAGTTCCAGAGAAAACAAGATCCAGGCTCGGATGGGAAAAGGCTCAAGTTCGCCGAGGCAGCTTTGGGGGACCCCGGCTGAGCTGGAGGCAGGCGCCCCCCAACCCCTTCCACGGCTCCGACTCGGATCCTTCCGGGCCCCTAGAACAGGCAGCCGCAGCCCCCGCAGCTCTGGCGGGAACACTGGTGGGCTCTGGGGCTTGGAGCCCCTGACTTCTGGTTCCGCCTGCTGGAAGGGAGGAAGGCGGGAAGGGCCCCCCCACCTGCGCCCCGTCCTTCCCTCTTGGTGGTCGGAGGCTTTGTCTCAGCTTCATGGGCAAGGTCCAGAGAAGGCTGATGCACCCACTTCTGCAGTTCCCCCACCCTGAGTCGTGCCTCGAGAGGGGCTCAAACAGGCACAGCGGGAGGGTTGTGGACGCGGGCAGTGGGGCAGGCACTGACATGACCCCTTTTGCCAGAGTCTGCACTGACCTGAGTCCCCTCCCCCACTCCCCTCCGAGTCCCCTCCCCCTGTGTCCCCTCTCCCAGAGTCCCCTCCCCCGGAGTCTCCTCCCCTGGAGTCCCCTCCTGAGTCCCCTCCCCGAGTCTCCTTCCCCACCCTGTGTCCCCTCCCCAGATTCCCCTCCCCCCACTCCCTGCCCCTGAGTCTCCTACCCCAACTCCCCTCCCCCCAGCTCCCTCCTCCCCAAGTCCTCCCCCTCCCCCTGAGTCCCGAACATCCTCACACACCCCTGCCCCCTGCTCAGGTCGTGGTGCCTACAAGGCCGGGAGCCTGGCCCCTGTACCACTAACGCCGTATCTGCCTCTCCCGCCAGGGGCCTTCCCAAATCTAGACCCTCAAGGGCTGTCGAGCGTGAAGGATGCTAGAGAGCCCCTCGTGCCGCCGGGCCACTATCTGTGGGAGCAGCCCGAGGTGCAGAGCGGGGAAGTGTCTTACCCACGGGTGCACGGTGAGTGTCCCCCGCTCTGCCAGGGCGTCTGGGGGGCGGGGGCCTCGGGTCCGTGTGCTTCTCCCGCCACAGCCCGGACAGGCCAGGACTCTGCTGGTGGGGGGGCGGGCCAGAACAGAGTGGTGTGAAGGATGGGGCGCTGAGACCCAGCCTCGGTTTCCCCAGGATGCTGTGGGTTGGGGGGTCTCCCCCTGACCCTCCTTACCCCTCGCGGACTCTGCTTTGAGGACAGAAAGCCTTGATGTGGTCAGGCTGCCCTTGGCGTACCCCCAGGCCCGGTGCCCCTCCTGCCCTGTCCCCTTGACACACACATGCACATGTACATACACACACGTACATGGACACACACGCACACATGCACACGCACACGCACACACGCACACACATGCACACACACGCACACATGCACACGTACATGCATACACATGCACACACGCACACAAATGCACACACGCACACACATGCACACACACCCGCACACATGCACATGCACACACGCACACACATGCACATGGACACACATGCACACATGAACATGCACACACATGCACACATGCACATGGACACACATGCACACATGAACATGCACACACACGCACACACACGCACACACATGGACACACATGAACACACACATGAACACATATATGCACACATGCACATGCACACACATGCATACACATGCATACACATGCATATACATGCACACATACACATGCATACACGCACACACATGCACAGACATAAACATGCACACATGCACACACACGCACACGCACACACATGCACATGGACATACACATGCACACATGCACACGCACACACGCACACACGCACACACGCACACATGCACACATATGCACATGTGCACGTGCGCACATGTACATACACACAATACACACATGCACGCACACATGCATGCATACATACGTGCACTTACACACATGTAATGCACACGTGCACAGAAACACCCCAGATAGGTCCCCCTCAGCACCATCAGCCTCTGTGTGGCAACTCCCTGCTTCGGACAGGTCACGGGGTCCTGGGCTCGGTCCTCTGTCGGGGAAGGGCCTCGGTGGTCACCCAGGGCGGGTAGGCTGCACAGTCCCAGGACTGAGCCCCTGCTGGGCGCCTGAGAATGGGGGCTCGTAGCCCCTCGGATGGGGGGGCCTTGGGTTGTACCTCGCTCCCACCCCGGGTGCCCCCGGCTTTCCTTCCCGGGTTTGGTGGCACCCACAGTGACCCCAGCGCTGCTGGCACAAGCTCGCGCTGCCTTGGAAGTTGCCCCTACCCGCAGACCTGTTGGACGCCCTGCGATCCTCACCCCTCTGCAGGCCCCTCCCCACCCCTTGCTCTGGTTCCCCTGAGGGTTTTGGTTTTTACTTTATTTTGTTTTTTTTCTGTTCTCCTGTTTTTTTGTTGTTTCTGTTTTTTATAGGTTTCAGAGAGATTATGTTGAACCCAATAAGCCTTCCGGGACATTCCAAGCCTCTTCCCCGTGGCCTCTATGTTGAGGATGTCAATGTTTATTTCAGCAAAGGACTGCACGGCTTTTAAAGGCTCCTTACACGCGCACGCGCGCACACACGCACACGCACACCCCCCAGACCCCGCCCCGCCCACTGTGGTGTCCCCTGTCTGGGCCCCTCTGAGGGGGCCTAGCCCGGCACTCAGCTCTCGTTGCATCGGGGTGTCGGCAGAGACCGCGTGAGCCTCCAGCACCCCAGCCCCCTGCCGAGCCCCCCGCCCCCCACGCAGGCCGGTGCTGTCCACATGTCACTGTGACCCCCCCGGGGAAGAGGCTTAGAAGGCCGGACGCCCCCACGGCCACGGGGGCAGCCGGAGAAAAGCCGGACATGTGCCAGTGGGGTGGGAGGCGGGCTCCGAGGCTCCCCGGGACCCCCGGCCAGGCCCTGAGTTGCCTCATCCGTCGGTCCGTCCTCCAGCACCCGAGCGAGCAGAGGTGGAGACAGCACAGGACTAGTTCCCCGAGGGTGAAGGGAGAAGCTGTCATCTCCCGACCTCTGTCTTTGTGTTGGTGGAGACCCCCCCCATGCCCCCGACACACACACACACACGCACACGCACACGCACACGCACACGCACACGCACACGCACACGCACACGCACACGCACACACCCATGTTTGTTTGTTCCTTGGTTTGCTTTGCGGATTTTGTTTCCTTTTCATTGTTGGACACATTTTCCCATTTCCCCTCCTTCCTCTAGAACATTCCTGGGGAGAGGAGCACCCCTCACCCCAAACCCCGCCACCCCCACACCTGCCCCTGCGTCAGGGCTCGGGTCCTGGCCTGTGAGTCCTCCTGGACCCGAGGGAATCAAGCTGTAGCCCCTCCCTCTGTCCCAGGGACCCCCAGACTGCTTTTACCCCCACCCCTGTTGTGACTCCCGACTCAGAGAACTGTGGGGTCCTTGGACCGGACGTGTCCAGGTCACGGTGCCACGCGGGGGAGAGGAGCAGCCTTTGGTCCAGGGTCTGTCCTCCCGCCCGAGGCCCTTGGCTTGCCCTGACCCCGACCCTCTGCCCCAATCCCCCGAGCCCCCTGGGGAAGGGGAGGTGCCGAGCCCACCTGGCCGGAAGTCAGCCTGCCCAAGGCTGCCACTCCCCTGAGGGGAGACTGTGTGAACTGGGGGCCCCGGGGGGCTCCCGTGTGTTGGGAGGATCACGCACCAGAGGGGTGGAGGTTTCAACCTGCCGAGGGTCAGGGGCCAAGTGTAGACCAGAGTTTCTCTGCCGTCCGCTGGTTTCCTGGGTTACTTTCATTTTTCCCATGAGTGGGGGTTTCTTGATGTTGGGGGGATCCAAGGGCATCCCTCCCACCCCGCCCCATGGAGTTCCCACCCGGCCCAGTGCTTCCTCCCGGGCCGTGAGGGCACCCCGCCCCCTGCCCCCGCCCGCGTGTGGCGTGAAGGCGAGCCTGAGATGCTCTTTCTGATGATTGTGACTCGTTACCTCATGCCCCGACCGCTCTGCCACCTCCGCCCTGCTGCACCCCCGAGCCCGCCGGGGGAGGCCCCGCGTCTCTCAGACAGGCGAGCCCGTGTATAGTTTCTTAATAAACACTTTATTTTCTAATGAAACGGCTGCGCGAGACCTCTTCTTTGGCAGCTCTGCACCGGGCAGCTCTTCCCCGGCGCCCCCGCCCCATTCAGCCCGGCGCTGGCACCTCCCTCCCAGGCCCCCGGGGGTTGCCGGGACCACGCTGGGCCCACCCTGGGCCATGCTGCTGCTCGGGGACTCAGCGCTCGGGGACTCGGCGGAGCTTGGGGGAAGGGCCGGGGTCTTTCTCTCCGTGCCCTAGCCGGCTGGCCACCGTGTGGTTTGATGCCGGGAAGTTGAAGGTGCAGGCACTCAGTGAGGGTCACCCCGTCACACAGACTGTTTGGGGAGCAGGTCTCTAGCCGGCCTCAGGGGCCATGTGACCGAGAGGGCTGGATGGGGCAGCACAGCCATTCCTGGGCGTGGCAGGGGGCGAACTCACTTCTGGTGGCCACTGTGTGACTTAGGGGGGAGGGATCCCGCAGGCAGGAGGCCTGGAGTCAGGGTGGACGTGGGCCCGGGGGTCTGGAGCTGAGCGGGAGGCACTGTCCTCTCCCCGAGTCCACTCTGCTGGGTCCCGCTAGCAGAAGCTTGTCTCCAGGGCAGCCGGGCAGGCGTGGGGTGCCAGCGGTGCTGCCTCCTGCCTGTCCCGTTCGGGGGTCACGACAGGGAGACAGGCAGGTGCTTCGCCGTCCTGGGCGTGGAGCCTGGGTCGGTCTGCCTGGGGAGGGTGCGAGGAGGGGGCAGGAGCTCAGAGCGGGGCCTGTGTGCACGTCTGGAGCCTGGGGGAGGGGTGCGCACAGCCAGGAGGTGGCGGGAGCGAGAAGGTCCGAGGGTGGGGAGTCTGTGGCTGGGGGTCTGCATCCGGCCTTGGTGCATGTTTCCGGGGGTAGGTCGAGAGACTCAGCCCCCCACCCCCACCCCAGGAGTGCGTCATTCCTGCTGCTCACGGGTGCTGTGCTGTAAGAGGCCAAGTGGCTGGACCTCCCTCCGCATTCAGCCTCACGGAGGGTGGGGGTGAGGGTGGTAGGGACTAGCTGTGTCCCTGCCTGCAGGTGGACCCCTGGACACGGGGAAGTCACGTGCACAAAAAATCCTGACCTCAGATGGAACCAGCCCTGTGCCCTGCCCAGCCCTGCCCCGCCTGCTCCCAGAGGGAGGGCATGGTGCCCGGGAACAGGCTCCGCTGACTTCAGGGTGCCTGGGGAGATATCATGAAGCCGCGCCTGGGGACAGGGTGGGACACGCTGAGCGTGAGTCTCATCGGGACTGCAGAGACCTGTGCCGGCAGTAGCCTCTGATCCTGGTGCCCCCAAACCAACCCTCCCCCCAAATGCAACCGAGTCGAGGAACCGCCGAGCCTCATTTCACATAAGGGCACGAAGCACGGGCCCCTGGCCAGGGGAGACAGAGGCCTCAGAACCGCCGAGAGTCCAGCGTGGCCACTGCCCCTCACCCAGGCCCGAACCAGCGCCCTTCCGTGCCCCTGATTGGTCCAGCTGGGGGTGTGAGCCCCATGAAGGGGGATCCCCGCGCTGTGTCCCCTTGCTTGTTGGTCCCCTGAGGGTCCTGAGGTGAAGGAGCCAGGACTGTTCAGGGAGCAAAGGGGCGGGGGGTGGGCGGTGTGGAGACAGCGGGCACGTGTGGCTCACAGCCCGTCACTGTGGCCTGCACAGCCCTGCAGGGTGGGGGTGTCAGGGTCGGGGTGCCGGGAGCCAGGGCTGGTGTTGGAGAGGGGGATCTCCTGGGCAGTGTCGGGGAGCTGCCTGGAACCCATCACGGCCTGGACAGCCACTTCTATCATGGCCGTGTCCGGCCTCGCGTGGGCTGCTCGGGGCGGGCCCTGGCTGGGGCTGGACCCTCTGCGTCTTGGGCCAGCGTCTCGGGGCTGACCTGGCAGGGGGCTGGACCCTCTGTGCATCTGGGGCAGAGCTGGCCAGGGACTGGACCTTCTGTGCATCTCAGAGTGGACCCTGGTGGGGGGCTGAACCCTCTGTGTCCTCCTGTACTCCCCAGCCCGTGTCCGGCTTGAGTGTCTTGATTAAGGCCCCAAATGGCCGCCTGTGTGGCATCTTGTGAGTGTCGGGATGGGGACCTGTGTTTGAATACCCGGGGCCTGGCCAGGGTCCGCCAGGACCTCGACTCGGGGTGCAGGGTCCCAGAGGGGAATGAGGGGCTGGGCAGGAGAGGGGTGATGGGATCTATTTCAGTGGCTCACTGCGAATTCCTGTCCCGCAGGTTGTGGCACTGGGCAGCACCTCTGGGTACCAAGGGGGGACAGAGAGGACAGTGACCACAGCCTCCCTGCCCGAGGGACTGCTGAAGGCACAAAGGGGAGAGTGACCGGACCTCCCTGTGGGGTGCTCAGTTCATAGCTGGCCCCTTGGGTGTCCCAAGGTTGGGATGGGGTGCTGACCCCCATTTCAGAGTCAGAGCTGCTGGGCAGGCATTTGGACATCCAGTAGTCCAGGGGCTGTGCTGTTTCAGGTCCGGGCAAGGCAGCCGAGTGGACAGTCAGGAAGTGGGAGAGTTCCAGTTAGTGCGTCCAGGAAGGACCCTGAGTGCGCCCCTGCTCCCCTGGGACCCCGGCTATGTTTGAGATCATCTGCTGTCCCCAGTCACCAGCTGGGCCCACTGTGCCCAGGGGACTGCCCGGTGTCTGCCACCCAGCCCCCCGTGCCCTGGAGATGCACGGCCTTCCAGGGATGGTGACCTTACTGGGGAGCATGGTATGCATGCCGTGACCAGCGTAGGAGCCCCGCGTGTGGGCTATGGGGAGGGAACCCCAGAAAAGGGAACCGGAGACTTTCTCCCCCCGATAACGTGCCGTTCCCCATTCCCAAGGCTGTTTACGTGCACGTAGACAGTCCCCCCCCCCCACCCCGGGCCCACACCTGCCCACCCTCTCCTCTGCTCAGTAAGGGAACCCAGGCTCCCGGGAGCCTCACGCACGGGCCCCCCGCGATCTTGGTTTGTTTATTGTTTTTCTGAGACGGTTGTGCACCTGCTGACCTTTCCTGCGACATGGAGCCCCCACCCCGGGACCCTCCCGTGGGCTCTGTTGGCCAGCTCAGGGTGTGGGGCTCACCTGCCCGCCAGGCCGCCCCAGTGACCAGCTCGCCATCGTGTGCCCAAGCACGGGAACACTGCTTGGCAGGAATGCTGAGGGGAGCCGAGGACGCCAACCCCCTGGGTCACTGTCACAGAAGGCCCTTCCCACACCCCATGCACCCCTCTGAACCTGAGGGTCTTCAGGAAGGGGAGCTGGGGGCTGGCGGGAAAGGGCTGGAGCTGGGGACGGGAGCACTCAGAGCCCCCAAGTCGCCTTTGCTCCCTCCCCTTCCCCTCTTCACCTCCCTCCCTCCCCCCTCCCTCTCCCCCTCTCTCCCTTTCCCTCTCTCCTTCCCCCTCTCCCCACCCGCTATCTCCCCCTCTCTCTCCTTCTCTCCCTCTCTCTTTCTCTCTCTCTTCTTCTCCCTCTCACCTTTCTCTCTTCCTCTCTCCCTCCCTCTCTCTTTCTCCCTCTCCCTCTCTCTCTTTCTCTCGCTTCCTCTCTCTTCCTTCCTCTCTCCCTCTCCCTCTCTCCCTCTCTCTTCCTCTCTCCTCCTCTCTCTCCCTCTCCCCTTCCCTCTCTTTTCCCCTCCTCCTTCTCTCACCCCCCCTCCCTTCACTCCTGATGGCTGTATAACGGTGGAATCCCAACACTCCTTCAGGCTGTTTCTAGAAGGGCCCTGGGCCAGCCCTGCCCCCTCTCTGCTCCGGGGGAGGGGCATGTCTCCAGCTTTGGGTCTGGCCATGCAGTCCCGTTGATACCAGAGCAGATGGCACCAGGAGGACCCGACGGTGGGCACTGCCAGGCCCAGGCAGCGCCAGTGAGGGTGGGCCAGGCGCCGCGAGGCCCGTGTCACTTCCCGCAGCCCCACCAGCTGCTCGTCCATCCGTCGCTGACCGGAAGCAGTTGCCAAGAGGCTGCGGTTCTGCCAGGACCCCCGTTCCGGCCTCCCCATGCCAGGCCGCCGCGGGCCTGCACCCTGTCCTGGTTGGCTGCAGGGGGCCCGGAGACATGGCGGGAGGGAGGAAGAGCTTCCCCGTCTCCTCCTGGCCCCGGCACTGCCGGGGAATGCTGGCAGGGTTGGTGCCGCCAGCCGCAGCGTGCCAGAGCAAGTCAGAGCTCAAGGTCTGCGGCATCGGAACTTCACTCTGTATCCGGGCCCAGCCTTTGCAGGACCCGCCCCAGGCCAGAAGTGGGGCCCCAACCCTCAGCCCCAGGGTGAGGGTCTGCCACTGCTCGGTGCCTGCATGGCCCGGTGTCCTGCTTCTGAGCCCCTGGAGACACTCGTTCCAGTAGGCAGGTGGGCGGGCGGTCAGCCCTCCTCCCGCCGCCTCTGGGCCGGGCTTCTCAGGGAGTGTCCAGGCGTTGGGTCCCTGTGGGCTGTGGGGGCGTCCACGCCCCTTCCTGAGCTGGGCCCGGCCACTCAGTCTCAGGGTCAGAACCCGAGGCCGTTCCCCACCTCCCCGGCTCTCCGTGTGCTAGGCTCAGGAGTCGTACCCAGACCAAAGCCCTCAGCCCTTTCTGGAGGGGATGTCTGGGGGGCTTCAGCAGGGCCCTGGAACACATCCTCGGAACTCAGTGGACTTGACAGAGCTGCAGAGGAGCCCTGAGGGACGGGATCCCCTGAGTCCCACGTCCCCCCTCTCTGTCTTTGGGGAGTTTGGGGGCAGCAGACAATCCGGGTAGACGCCGGTTGGGCCGACATCTGGCATTTGTGGGGGTCGTGTGGAGCGAACTTGTTGGTCTGCAGGGCATCCCCCTGGCTGGTGGCCCAGGGGCACACTGGGCCCTGAAACCACAGCCCAGTGCTCGTTGGCCAGTTGAAAGGGATGGTAGAGGGAGGGGTGCGGTGGGCAGCTGGGGAGACGGAAACCTAACCCAGGTGCCTGAGTGCATGCGGGGTGAGGGCCCAGTGAGAAGTGGTCTGTGACCCATGACCTCGAGGGTCATGGTCAGTCGAGGGGGTGCTGGTTCTCCCTCAGTGCACCATGCCCAGGGTGGGCAGCAGCTCAGGCTAGACTGTGCCCAGCTGGCCTGCAGAAGGGACCCCACACACTCCACTTCCACTTCCAAGTGAGTCTTTGCCTCAGCGTCTCCGCCAGGGGTACAGGGCTACAGGCACAGGTCGACTGGTGCCTCAGTTTACCCGACAGCGCCCGCCTGTGTCAGGAGGACACTGCTGGGCAGGGTCAGGGAAGGACACGCTGGGGTCTTGGATGAGCTCCGGCCTGTGGGAAATGGCAGCTTGGGGGCTGGGGTCGCCCACCTGAGGCAGAGCGATGAGGGGCCCGAGGCTCTGCTTCCCTCCTGTTTGCTGGTGCTGCTCTGGGGGCAGGGGGCTCCCCAGACGCGCCCACGGCCATGCTCAGTGGTGCCACGGATGGAGCTCGGGCCGCGCGGGCGGTAGGAACCCCCGCTCCAGGGCTGCCCCGGTGAGCCCAGGATAGATGCGGAAGAGGGGGGGGGGGCGCTCAGACGGGACTGGAGAAACGGGGGCCGGACGGGGAGCAGGAAGTGGGGAGCAGGGCTGGTGTGTGGGGGCCTCCGTCCAAGCCCCTCTTTCAGCACCTCGCTCCCCCCCTTCCAGATGCTTCCGTGGGGATCGGCTCCGCTCTGGACCCACCCAGTCAGGGCTGTGAGTGCCAGAGCGGGGTCCCCTCGGCCCAGCGGGGCCGGGCACTGTGCAGGGGAAGGGGGCACGTTGGCAAAGCCAGGCTGTGGTGGGAGGTCACAAGAGGGTGGGGGCAGGGACCTCCGTGAACTTAGGCCTCCCCGTGAGAACTTGCTGTGTAGGAAGCGAGCGCTGGAACGCACCCGAGAACAGACCGTGCTCTGCTCACCGCCCCCCCCCCCCCCGCTTCCAGAAAGAGGGGCGTCCTGTCTGTTCAGCCCGGGGCTCGGGGCGGGGGGTCACGCAATGGGGCTTCCTGGGGCTTCCTGTCACCTCAGGGGCTTCGGGTGCAGGAGCATGGTGAGGGTGCCCGAGGCCTGGAGCTCCGGGTCCCCCAGGGCCAGCTCCTGTTGTGGCCGGCGGAAGGTCAGCGGGCCTCCTGGAAGCTCGCCTGCCCTCACTCATCTCCCCCAGCCCCCCTTCCCGCGCTGGCTGCCCCGGCTCTCCCCCTCCGCGGCCCCGGACAGAGTTTGAATTTATTTCCTCATCCATCAACTCTTCAGCAGGGCCCGGCTACGTCGGGGGCCCTGGCCAGCGGCCGGACACGCAGAGGCTTGGCCGTGCTTGATGCGGCTGCGAGCTCAGTGCAAAGCCATGAGCCGGCAAGGTGGGGGGCTTGGTGCCCCTGGGGGTTGGCTTGTGGCTGAGAGTTGGGGGGGCTCCTCCCAGCCGCTCAGAGCTGGGGACCCCTGATCTGCTCCCTCCCCAATGCCAAAGCTGCCCCTGGGGATGCTGGACCTTTGGGAGGTGCCGCAGCCTCAGGAGCGTTCTGGGCACTTGCTATTTCTTCTGTTAAAACTTGGGGCTGGAGTGACAGTACAGCGGGTAGTGTGTTTGCCTTGCACGCGGTCGACCCGGGTTCGATTCCCAGCATCCCATATGGTCCCCTGAGCACTGCCAGGAATAATTCCTGAGTGCAAAGCCGGAAGTAACCCCTGTGCATCACTGGATGTAACCCCAAAATGCCAAAAAAAAATAAAAGCTCAATCTGGGGTCAGAGGGAGCCAGGCACCGCCTGGCATCCCACAGACCCTGTTCAGTCCAAGTGCCCCACAGGGACCCCCAAACCGCCTGGTCACTTCCCAGCACAGATCTAGGGATGATCCTTGAGCACTGCTAGATGTGACCCCCCCCCCAAAAAAAAAACACAGAAAAAGAAGGTAGATTTTTTTTTCTTTCATAAAAAGCTGGGGGAGGCTGTAAGTTAGCATTCTGCAGTGGCGTCCATGGGCCTCTAGGCCCGGTCTGCTCAGACCCTGTGCCCTGCCTGGCTTCAGTTTCGGTGCCATGGGAGGGGTCATCAAGCCCCCCTGCTCTGCACTGTCCTGATGCAGCCTGGGGGGACTGTGTCTCGCAGCTCGGGGGACTGGAGCAGGGGCTCTGTGGACAGCAGGTGGAGATTCCTGGCCAGCCCTTCCAGGCGGAGTGTCTCCCATTCAGGCGCAGTTAAGCGTGGGGTATTGACTCCTGTCTCTGAGCAGTGCTGGCAGCCCCAGCCCACAGGCCGCCCACGCTCCGCACATGCCTCGGAGCTGTCGCGCTCCCTCGCCCCGAGCCCCCCGGGGTGGGACCCTCCTCCGCAGAAGCAGCTGCCCCAGCAGGGTCCCCAGCAACCCTCCCCCTCTTCCCCTGGGCCGTCCATCCCCACAGCCCCACGAGTAACGACCCCGCCCCTTCAGGGTGGATGGCAGGGGCGTGTGCGCACGTATGTGTGAGTGTATGTTTGCATGTCTGTGAATGCCCGTGTGAGTGTGAGTCCGTGTTCCTGCCCATGAATGGGAGTGCGTCCGTCTGTGACTGTGAGTGTGACTGTGTGTGTCTGTGTGTGACTTGTGTGGAGGTGTGTGTCTTTGTGACTGTGTGTCTATACATGGCTGTGTGAGGGTGTGTTTGTGTCTGTGACTGTGTGTGTCTGTGTGACTGTATGTGTGTGAGGGTATGTGTGACTATATCTGTGTAAGACTGTGAGAATTTGTCTGTGTGTTAGGGTGTGAGGGTGCGTGAGGGTGTGAATGTGTGTATGTGAGTGTATGTGACTATGTGTGAGGGTGTGTGTCTGTGTGTAAGGGTGTGAGTGTGTGTGACAGGGTGTAGCTGTATCTGTGTGTGAGGGTGTGGCTGTGTGTGGCTGTGTGGCTGCGAGGGTATGTGACTGTGAGGACGTGAGTGTGTGTGTCTGTGTGTGAGGGTGTGTGTCTGTGTGTGGGTATGAGTGTGTCTGTGTGTGAGGGTGTGTGTGTGTGTGTGAGTCTGTGTGTCTGTGTGTGTGTGAGGGTGTGTGACTGAGGACGTGAGTGTGTGAGTCTGTGTGTCTCTGTGTGTGTGAGGGTGTGTGACTGTGAGGACGTGAGTGTGTGTGTCTGTGTGTGAGGGTGTATGTGTGTGGATGTGTGTCTGTGTGAGGGTGTGTGTGTGAGTCTGTGTGTCTGTGTGTATGTGAGGGTGTGTGACTGAGGACGTGAGTGTATGTGTGCCTGTGTGTGAGGGTGTATGTCTGTGTGTATGCGAGGGCGTGTGACTGAGGACGTGAGTGTATGTGTGCCTGTGTGTGAGGGTATGTGTGTGTGGGTGTGAGTGTGTGTGTGTGTGTGAGTGTGTGTGTGTGCGCTCCCAGTTGGATGCAGGTTCCCCTTGCACCCTCGGGAGTGGGTGTGATATGCCTCCAGTTGACCCCGGGTGGGGTGAGACCAGCCCGGGGCAGGAGCCCCCAGCCGTGGCCCCAGCGTGCCTGCCGTTTGTCGGGTGCAGCTCGGCTGGTCCCCATCACTGACCCGGCCTCGGGACTCGGCATCCGCCACTGCCCACTGCTCCCGGGAGCTGAGGGGCCCCGAGTGCCCGGCAGGACCCCGACGCCCCGTGTCCCTGCAGACGTGCACCACATTAAGCGGAGGGACATCGTGCTGAAACGGGAGCTGGGTGAGGGCGCCTTCGGGAAGGTCTTCCTGGCCGAGTGCTACAACCTCAGCCCCACCAAGGACAAGATGCTGGTGGCCGTGAAGGTGAGTGCGGGGACGGCTGGGGGCGCCGGCAGAGTCCTCCCCTTTGGGGGTGAAGGGCTGGGCCCGAGAGCTGCAGGTCTGGCCTGTGAGAAGTCGGGGTCCTGCCCTCTGCACCCACTTTCCCCTGAGAGCTGGTGAGGGCGGCGGCTCCAGGGCCCCAGGCGGGCCATGAGGGGCCCAGGAGAGTCGCTTCCCCTCCCTGATGCAGCTAAACCTGCCCCCGGGACGCGTCCCACCCAGCTGCTCGGGCGTCCCACAGCAGAGCCTTGGCACAGGGGCAGGGGCCCTCGTCCTCTCTTCTGGGGGGCTGCATGGGAGTGGGTCAGAGGCACCAGGGGGTCCTGGTGGTCTGCTCCCTGGGGTCTGGAGCTGGTAAGCTGGGGGTGGTGGGAGGGGGCTCCCTCTGCCCGAGGCGTGCCCATTGACCTGGTGGCTGGCTGTCTGCACCCCGGAGCATGCCCTCCCCTGGGGGCCTTAGGCCAGGGTCCATCCAAGTGCTCAGAGCCTTCCCCGGCTCCCAGAGCCTGGCCGGGCCCCTCCCTACTGAGCACCCCCGGCATGTGTTCAGCGCCCTTGTGCGGGCCACCAGGGCCCTGTGTCTTGGGGACCCGAGTGGGAGAGAGTCCTGTGAGCCCCTCCCCCCGCAGGCCCTGAAGGACCCCACCCTGGCGGCCCGGAAGGACTTCCAGCGGGAGGCCGAGCTGCTCACCAATCTGCAGCACGACCACATCGTCAAATTCTACGGGGTCTGTGGTGACGGTGACCCCCTCATCATGGTCTTCGAGTACATGAAGCATGGGGACCTCAACAAGTTCCTCAGGTGGGCATGGCTGCCCGTGCCGGCGCCCGGAATGTTCTGGAGGTTCCCCGGGGAACTGCAGCCCAGGCCCACTCCTTCCCACAGCCGGTCACAAGACCCCATGTGGGGGTTCATGGCCCCTCGCTTATAACAAGTGCAGCTTGACATGGACCCTCAGTCCCCCCCTCCCGCCCACGGACACAATGCGGGCACTGGGCCTGGGCCGTGTGACCCCATCATTTTGTGCCTCAGTTTCCCTTTCTGTGAAAGGGCTGTTGGGGGGGGGGCGGGAGGCCGAGTGAGGCACATTTGAATTGCCAAGAGTGCTTCCCCGTATGGGCGAGGCTGAGCCCAGCAAGCTTTCTTCTTTTTGTTCTTTTTTGTTTGGGGCCACTTGGGGCGGTGCTCAAGAGTCACCCTGTTTGTCACTCAGGGATCTCTCCTGGCGGTGCTGGGGATCCTGTGGGGTACTGGGGGCTCGGTCCGCTATGCGCCAGGCAGACAGCCCTCCCCGCTTTGCTTTTCCTGCCTGCATCCGTAACGTCACCCCTGTCCCCACCTCTGGGCCTCGGGGTTTCGGCAGGCCCTGGTCAGCTTCTTCACCCATGCACCTCCTGGGGTCCCCTGGGCCAGGCACCAAGGGCAGCGGTTCACTTCCGCCCCCTGAACATTTCTGCTCCCTCTCCCCCCACCCCCGCACCCCCCTCCCGAAGGGCCCATGGGCCGGATGCGATGATCCTGGTGGACGGGCAGCCGCGCCAGGCCAAGGGCGAGCTGGGCCTCTCCCAGATGCTGCACATCGCCAGCCAGATCGCCTCGGGCATGGCCTACCTGGCCTCACAGCACTTCGTGCACCGGGACCTGGCCACGAGGAACTGCCTGGTGGGGGCCAACCTGCTGGTGAAGATCGGGGACTTCGGCATGTCCCGGGACGTCTACAGCACCGACTACTACCGGGTAAGGCCGCCGCCGCCGCGGCCGCGCTCTGCCCGCTGCTGCTCGCTGTCTGTGTTGCTGTCCCTCCCGCCCCCCCACCCCTCCCGACACGTCCACGCTTTCTTCTCTCAACTCTGACCTCCTGTCCTGCCTTCAGGGGGGCCCCGGGGAGCAGCCAGAACCAGGGGCCCCAGGGAGCGAGGTCATTGAGGGCTGCGGTGCGGGGAGGGGCAGGGGTAGACTTTGGGCGTGGGCGCGTCTCTGCATTGGCATTTCTGGGTTTGCGTGGTGGGGATCGTTATCCCAGGAAGGGGAGCAGGTGGGGGCGCCCCGAGGCCGAGGTGCGTCAGCTGGCTCGGGCTGATGGGAGGAAGCAGCCGGGAGATTGGAGACTTCTGGAAGCAGACAGAGGAACAGAGACGAGTCAGTCAAGAGAAGAAAGGGGAGAAGTTTATTTTGGGGTGTGTGCCTGGGGAACCCCATGAACCTCTGGGACGGACCGAGCGGGCTTATAAGTTGTCCTGGGCGGGGAAAGGAACCAGAGGCCAGTGGGGCTGGGCGCTTGGCCTGGCCTTCTGTCACCTGCAGGGGTCCGTGTGAGGAAGCCCGGTGGCAGCATGCAGGGGCAGGGTGGCCTTTGATTCCGAGTGTTGCTGCCTCCTCAGTCGGTCGAGGTGCAGAGAGTTGGGGTGAGGAGGGTGGCGCCGGGACGTGGGGGCGTGGGCCACGACCGTCCCCGTCACTCCATGAGCAGACCTCCCAGGAACGAGTGTCAGGGTGGCCGGAGCCTGGCAGGCTGGCCTTGGCTTCTGACCGCGTGGGTTGGCCTCTGCCTGAGCAGGGAAATGGCCGCTGGAGATGCGGAGTGTCCGTGGGGAAGCTGGCCCACCCTGGGGGCCCGGCGGGGCTGGCAGTGGGGCACCCAGCTGGGCCGCAGATCAGCACCCCTAGTTTGGAGAAGGGTCGGGAAGCGCCAGGAGCCACCAAGTAGCTCAGCAGAGTCTGGGGTCATTGTCTCGGTCGAGTTGCCCAGTGGCGACCCCCGGCTGGCTGCCTGGTACTGTTTGCCTCTCCCGCAGACTGTGGGGCGTTCGGCCAGGCTCAGCTTTGTTCTGATCAGGACACGGCCTGGTCACTGTTTCCTGTGTGAGGCAGACGCTTGGTGATGCTTGTTCAGCCCCCACAGGCTTGGCTGCACCTTGGGAAACTGGGTCCGGCCAGAAGGTGTTAAATGTGGCCCTCCTGAGTCTTCCCACGGTGGCTGTGTCACGGGGGCCGCCCGCGCCATAACACGGTGAACTGGTTCCTCTGGGAGGGTTCCCTGGGGTGAACACGTGCGGTGTCTGTGGCCAGGATGCCCGGGGGTGAAGGAGAGGAGTGTTCCCCATAACCGGGCACCTCCTTTCATGTGTGTTTTAAGCCCGTTCTGCGCCGAGACCACCGGGGCGGAAATATCTGTCTTTGATCCCATGGATGTCAGGAAAAACTAACAAATCACTTTTGTTGTTGTTTGTCTTGTCTTATTTTTACTTTGGGCCCACACGTGGCAGTGCTCAGGGCTGACTCTTAGCTCTGTGCTCAGGGATCTCTCCTGGCGGGGCTCGGGGGACCCTAGGGGGTGCTGGGGATCCAACCAAGGTCAGCGTGTGTGAGGCGAGCACCTTATCCCCGGACTCTCCCTGGTCCCTAAGGGCCACTCCTACGGTACATGGACACTGGGTGCTGGAAAACGCTTCCTGCCATGGCTGCCCATTAGGGGTGGCAGAGGCGTCTTGCCTGTTCCCAAAGAGCTTCTGGTGGCCTCCCCATGTCCAGCCTCCCAGCCCTTGACTTTTCCGAAAAACGGAAGGGAAGTAACCCTACAGTCTCGTTGTCTGTGTGAGAGGACATCTGGGGGCCAGGGCAGCTGCTGGGTCACCTCCGCCCCCCTGTCCGCCAAGCAGCGTCCGCGGGGCCACTCGCCACAGTGCATCTGAAATTGGGGCGGTCCTCCACGAGGCCTGTACCTTTTCCCATTTGCTCCTCAAGCACCTGCACCCTCCCATCCCCTGCGGGAGATCCCTGATGTCAGCTTGTTTCCACATGTGGGTCTCCGGTCCACAGGGACCTCCTGACCAAAGGGCAGTGGAGGTTTATGAGAGTGGCCCTGGGTCTCTGCAGGGGTGCCGTCCAAGGCTAAGAACTGTGATTCAGTGTCCAGCCGCTTCCTGTGGCCAGAGTCCAGCTGGGGCTGCTCTTGGACCCCCACGCTGTGGCCACACATCGGTTTTCTGGGTTCCGAGGGGGTGGTGGGAGACCGTGTGTCTAGGGGCCACCACTGAGGTCTCTTTCTCTGAGCCGATGCCGAGGGCAGCCTCACCCACCCTTGGTGGTCTGGTGGCTTCCTCAGAGATTACGGGTGCGGGTTCTGGTGCCAGGTACAGTGAGATGTAGCCATGTGCAGGCACGCTCAGGTGAGGCTCTGCGGGACCTCTCGTGACCATGCGCATGCTAGCGTGTGTGAGCATGTGCGCTCTGAGTAGGAGCCTCTGTGTGCAGGTGTGTGTGTGCGTGTGCGCACTTGCCTGCCAGCGTGCCAGCCAGAGACAGGGCCAGGGAGATGCAGGGACACGCGCCTTGTTGGGTTCTCCCTTTTCTGTTTTCAGTTTCTTAAAACAAGAGGCACCATCTGGCTCCTGCCGGCGAGCTGTGCCACCGCTTAGAAAGGCGGGCCACCTGGTTTCCTGTTCGCATCTCGAGAGAGGAAACAGACCGCCCCGCTCCACAGCCTTCTCTCTTAGCGACAGGCACCATCTCCGAACCCCATCCAGGCTCCCAGGCCCTCCAGCTCTGGTGAGGTGCCTGGGGCCTTCCCTAAGCCTTGTGGGCAGCTGGGAGATCAACGCTGGAAGTCAGAAATGCGAGTTTCCCCAGAGGAGGAGCCAGGCTTCGGGAGAGAGCTGCACACAGACCAGGGGTTTTGGAGGGAGCTTGGGGTAGGGTCCTGCTCTGCAGGGGTCTAGCTAGACCATGCGACCCCTGCCCCTTTACTCACTACCCTCTGTGCCTGGGCATATCTCGGGCTCAGCTGACACTTGGTAAAACTGTGTGCAAATGAATAGATGGATGAATGGATGGGTGGATGGATGGATAGATGATGGATGGGTGGATGGATGGATGGATGGATAGATTGGTGGATGGATGGATGGATGGATAGATGGGTGGATGGATGGATGGGTAGATGGGTGGATGGATGGATGGGTAGATGGGTGAATGGATGATTGATAGATGGGTAAATGGATGAATGAATGTTGGATGGATGAGTGGATGGATGGATGGGTAGATGAGTGGGTAGATGGATGGATGAATGGATGGTGGTTGAGTGGATGGATGGGTGGGAGGATGGGTGGATGGATGGATGGGTGGATGGATGGGTGAATGATTAAAGAATGGGTAAGTGAATGAATGAATGTTGGATGGATGAGTGGATGGATGGATGGTTGATGGATAAATGGGTAGATAGGTGGGTGAATGGATGGGTAGATGGGTGAGTGGGTGGGTAGGTAGATAGGTGGGTGGATGTAAGGATGGGTGGGCGGGCAAACGGATGAATGGGTAGATGGGTAGATGGATGAATGGGTAGATGAGTGGGTAGATGGATGGATGAATGGACGGTGGTTGAGTGGATGGATAGGTGGGTGGGTGGATGGATGATGGATGGATGAATGAGATGGACAGTAGAGTTAGTGGGGGATCCCATGCTCCCCACGGCTGTGAGCAGGATCTGGGGCTCTGATTACAAGAGATTCACTTAGATGCAGCACAGAAGGGCTATGGCTGCAGCCCAACCTCCCTGGTCAGGGTTGGGGCCATGGTCTGCAGATGGTTCTGGGGGTCACACCGCAGGAAACCCGGTGGGTGGGGAACTCCACCCCCTCCCACCTGTAAGGTCAGGTCCCTCCCTTGGAGGCCCAGGTCAGGGGGTCTGCCCCTCTCACTTTCGTGGCCCGGGAAAGAGCTGGCTCCTGCACCTCCAGCCTGCCCCTAGCTGGGACACACTGGCTGAAGCTGAACCCTGGGACCCTCCCGCAGAGGCCACCGGTGTGGACGCAGCCTCGGGGAGGAGCAGCACGGAGACCGTGTCTGCTGGCCTGTTTTCCTTATTTTCTTCCCACTGTATTCTTTGAGACAGTCCAGGCCCGTGTGTCCCCAGGGGGGACCTGGAATCAGATGCGCAAATGCCACCCGCTTCCCTTCCAAAGGCTGGAGGAGCTGGAGGCAGCTGTGAATGTCACCGGCTTCACCCCGGTGACCCCTGGCAGCAGACGCTGAGGTCCTGGCAGAGGGTCTCGCTCCATCTCTGCCGTCCCCGTCCCTCCCGGCTGCTAAGGAGACAGAGGCTCTTCTCTGTCTGTCACTCACACCCCATCGCAGACTGACATTCTTGGCTGCTACCTGACCCTGTGCCCTGGCTGGGGAGAAACTCGGTTATTCTGGGGAAGGGGCCTAGAGTCAGTCGGGAGCCTGGCTGGCTGGGCTGTCCCAGAGGCTCTGCGTTGGCCAGCCGGTGCTTCTGTAGCCTCTCTGCAAAGCACAGCCAAGGGGACTGTGCCCTGCCCAGGGCAGAGGTGCCAGGGACGGCCCCCAGCCCTGCTCCCCTGGGGAGAGGGAGACCTCAGTCATACCTGACTCACCCCTCCGGGTCCCTCGCGTGTGAAAGACCTCTTTATTTCTTTCCTTGGGCAAACTGAATATAGGACATGTAAAGATACATAAATTTCCATACAAATCTCTTCTTTATAGCTGTGATTAAGACATTTGCATGCAGCCGCCTCGTGTCTTCCTGGGGCTTCCTCCAGGCTTCTCCTAAGCCCCAGAGCCCTGACTCTGTGATCTGTGCATGCAGAATCTGGCGGAGGGGGCACAGGGTCAGCAGAGGGCCGGCCAGGCGGAATTTCAATGGCATTTTTTTCAGGCTGAGTTGATCCCACAGAGCAGAGCTGGGGCGCCGGAGGGCCCAGGAGGACCCTCCCTGGTGCCGG